GCTTGACTACCTCATTTCTGCAATAATCAACGAGAGCGAATCAGAACGAAGAGCAGAGAAGAGGATCTGAAAAACTACTGCCTAATTTGCTTACTTCTCTGTGTCCACAATTTGTCCGCAAGAATTCCAATCGGTGATGCCGAAGCTTTACGTCCACATTTCGAAATATCGTGTTGGGCATCGATTTTCCTGCTCACTGTACGAAAATCGCAATGCAAAATGGAATTTGATCTTGATCCTTTCAAAAGTGCTCCCGGAGCAGCGAAAGTATTTGGTCACCCACTCCATTAGAATTTTTATTTTTGCTGTGCAGTGCTGTAGCGCTGATACAGTGAAATCAAGACTTCCGACTTCCTTCAAATTTTCATTCTCCCGATGAACGGGCACTGACTGGGAAGACGACCGGGCTTCATGCAAAAAGCTGGTAATCATGCACGCTGGAGGTGCCTACTGCCCCGCAATGCAACACTTCCGCCGCAGAACAACGCCTTCATGCAGAAAAGCGTCAAAATACAGCCTGTAGAGTACGAGTGCTAGGTTACAGCGCAGAAACCACCCATTGTTTAATGATCCGCAGTTTAGGCGCAAAAGCGCGACAGAATAGAATAGCAATCTGTGCGTTGCAGTCTAGGCTATTTTTCACGGCAGTGACGGTACCCTACATTATGCGTATGAGGATTTCACAGGGGGAAATTTGCATATGCATTTTTTGACATATTTGATACATTTTGACATATCCAACATTTAAGTGTTTGAGTTTTGAGAAAGGGCAAAATTTGCGTAGTATTTTGAGGGGAATTTGTATATTCGCCCAATTATTCGAAGTACATGTGCTTCTGAAATAGTATAAATTTGCTAGTGCTCCACAATAAGCATCATTTTTCACGTGAGTCGTTTTGAACTGGTGGGATGTGTAAGAAGCCGGCAAAACGCCAATGGGATCCTGCGTGAGTTTGTATCGTTATCTGTTTGGAAGCTCGTGCATCGGAGCACTTTGGCGACAAGGAGTGCTCAGAGCGATGCCCGGTGAATCGAGGAGATTTTGCGGAACTGCACAGAACAGATAAGGGATGATGATTCGCGGGCTGGCTCCAGATATATCCACTATTCATTCAGATCGATCCCTTATCTTCGATCTCACTATATGAAATAGTCGTAGTAGCACCAGCTTTCCACATGAATGAACGCAGCTAAGGATGCACACGTAAATGCAGTGACAAATCCTGGTCAATTTTAGAAACAACTGGACATGCCGGGGAGCGGGAGGGGGAGGGGGAGAGATATCATGATAGTGAACAAATAGTCATCTTCGAAGCCTTATCTGCATAGGTGGATCCAGGACGGACTCGTGGGGAGAGGGGGAAAGGGGACTACGAGGGTGCGGACGGGGGGAGGGGGAAGGGGGAGGTTCCTGGCTGGGGAACTCTTCAGAGGCGGGGGAGAGCCTACTCCCACCTGTAACTACGCAAAAACTAGGAACAGAGTTGTACCACTGCTACTTAGAGTTACTTTAGTTTTGTTATGCGTTTTGTGTAACAGCAGTGCAAAACGCATATCGTCACAGGGTTGTCTGTGTGTGTATGTCCGCAGCAACTTGTCCGCAACTTTCTACTCGGGAACTACAAAAGCAAGGAAGCTAAAAAATTTAGGGGAACGTTCCCCCACCCACGTGTGACCCCGCAAATTTAAATTTAGCATCCCCGTACCCGCCGGGTAACACGTACGGCCCCATAAAAGTTTGAGCGGGTAAAATTATTATCACGGGAACCACGGAAGCTAAAAGGCTGAAATTTTGTGGGCGTGTCCCTGCTCACATGCGACCTAGGAAATTTAAATTCACCCTTCTCCTGCCCGCGGGTAACACGAACGGTCCCATGAAAATTTTCGCGGGTAAATTGTTGTCTCGGGAACCACTGAATATACGAAGCTGAAATTTTAGTATAATTATCCCCTGCCCACGCTCGACCTTGCCCATCCAAATTCAGCGTCCCCGCGCTTTCGGACATCACCTACGGCCTCGTGAAAGTTTTGGCAGATAAATTATTATCTTGAGAACCACGGGATTCAGGAAGCTGAGATTTTATGGGTATGTTCCTTGTCCTCGCGTAACCTAGAAAATTCAAATTCAGCCTTTCCCTGCCCGCGGGTAACATATACGCCCCGTGAAACTTCCGGCAAGCAAATTATTATCTCGGAGACCACGGAATCCAGGAAGCTAAAATTTCGAAGTAATGACCCCCTACCCACGTACAACCTCGCAAATTCAAATTCACCGTTCTTACGCTCTCGGGTATCACCTACGGCCCCGTAAAAGTTTTGGCGGGGAAATTGTGACCTTGGGAACCATAAAAGCCAGAAGCTAAATTTTATAGCAGTGTCTTTTGTCCACATACAACTCTGCAATTTTAAATCCAGCTTCCCGCGCGTCGGAGTATTACTTATGGCCTCGTGGAAGTTCTGGCGGGGTAGTGAAAATCACCAGCAGACAATTTTTCAGTGAACAGGATTGCACAAAACTCATGATCGCACCGGCTGTCCTGGTGCGCGCCGCTATTTATTTATGAACAGACCCGGGCTTTTGCACCATTGGTGCTTGTACCCTAGGGGGCGGGGCGAAAAACCCCTTGCTCCGCCCCCTGCCCTCAGGATTCGCCAATGCTTACCAGCGTGTAGTTGTTGGCACAGATTGTTCACAGATCACATGAAGAGCGACTGGAGGTGGAGGGGCGCGAGGGTTCAGTTTGGCTTTGAAATGTTTGCGGAACTTACTTTTATTGGCCGAGAGAAGTGCGAGGCAAATTTCGGTGCCTGTGATGGCTCGGTGTAGTTGGGAGGCGGAGCTTGGTTCACGCTCTGGGATGCAGCTCCCGGGGCTGGAAGATCTTCACCAGCCCATGTTCTAAAGCAATTTTAGCAGCATTTAACTTTTATAATATTATAAATGGGCCAGCAGTGGTGAGGAAGCAGGAGTGACGCGCCTGGGTCCTGTTGGGTGCTATGATCGCTGCCCAACCCTGCATGATCAATTCACCGGTAGGTCTTAGGCCGTATGGTCAAACCTCCGGGGGTTTCGTGCGGGGATGCTGCCACCTC